GGGTGGTCACGGAACCAAAGGTCTGTCTGGGAGGAGGGAGGGTCTGCCCAGGAGCACAGAGGGTCTGTCCCAGGGCATGGAGGGTCTGTCCGAACGCATAGAGGGCAGAAGCGGCAGCGCACACCTCGGGACGAGCCGCGGGGAGGACACTTCCCTGCAGCTCCCCGTCCCGCTGACAGCGGGGTTAGGCAGTCCCGGCCGGCGCCACCCTCCCTGTTCCTCTCCGGAATCCCACCGCCCGCCCGGGGCACGGCGGATCGCGCCCAGAGCCCCGCTCCGTTATCCCCGGGGCATCCTGCCGGTACTCACCGCCGGGCCGGGCCGGGCCGAGCAGCTCCCGCGGGGCTGCGGGCTCAGAAGCTCCGCACGGCCGCGCCCGCCCCTCGCCATCACCGCCCACCGCCCGCACGGCGATGCCGAGGGGCGGGCGGCGGGCGCGGCCGGGCTCGGCCCCCCCTCCGCAAAGAGCATCATCCGCTCCTGGTTAAACAGGAAAAAAAAATCCACCCCAAAACTTCTCTCTGGCTGCTTGCTGCTTTTGCTTCGCTGTTTGGAGGAAAAAAAAAAAAAAAAAACTACATCTAGAAAATTATTTTCCATGTTATGCACTCAGATCCAAGGAAAGATATAACTTTGTTGGATCAACACTCATCGCTTTTAAGCAAAACTACTGGGTTTTGTGCTGTTTGGGTGTAAGCAGGGTTTTTCATGCCCAGCCAATGTGGGTGCTCCTGGTGCTGGAATCATTCAGGCCTGGACTGTGTCCCACTGATTCCACTTCCCATGGGAGAAAGATGGTTAAAGAAGGAAAACAAGGAGACCCCAAATGCACGGCCCAGACATGAAGGGCTGGCCAGGGTCACACTGACCCATCACCCACTCACCCCAAGGAGCTCCCTTCGAGGCTGGTACCACTGGGGGCTGTCCCCAACGTGCCATTAGCAACCTCACCCAGCCCTTGGTGGACACATCTTCAGGTGTCCAGGATATCTATAGAGATATTTTCGATGTGGAGATATGATAATAAGGCTGAAAACCTCTCTCTGAGGCTGCTGGTTAAATAAACCGCCCGTATTTGATCAGAGCTCTTTGCTATGGGCTCTGCTCATGCTTTGGAAAATGACAGGCAAATAAGCAAATCCCAAATTCCCCTGGCCAGCTGGAATACTTTTTTCTCCTTCAGTGTGAGCTGTGGAAGGCATAGGAGCTTTAAGGCACCAAGTTTTTAGCCTGCACAAGGCACTCCCTCTGCCAGCCCCAGGAGTGGAGCAGTGGACACAGGACAGGCTCAGGGGTCACCAGGGCTCCTGCTCAGCACAGGCACCACGACAGTGAACAGCCAGCTAAGAGCCCAGCCTCATGTTTAGGAGCAACCCTGTTCTTTCTGGGTGGCCAGAAACCATCACAGAAAAGGACAAGGTTGTGCCTGAAAGAGGAATTCAGTGGGAGAAGTGGGGTCTGTGCCAGACCTGCCCTCCTACCTCCTTGCCTGAGGCTAAAATGTCACTTTGAGGGGAAAAGGGAGAAGCAGACAGTATTTCACAAATGCCAATAAACCTGTTTTCTCCCAGATCAGTTTCTCCTGTGTTTTCTCTCCTGCCAGCACGATGCCTCCAAGTCACAGCAGGTTCAGGGCTACCTGGAGCTGGTTTTAGCAGAGAGGAAACAGTGGCTGCATTTCCAGCTCTTTGGAGCTGCCACCATCGTGTGCAGGAGCCTGGCCCAGCCTGGTTCCAGCTGCTCCCCAGCACAAAATCCAGGCTCCATCCTGCCCTCCAGCAGCGTGTTTATTTACAGCACAGTGTTTCTTTCTAAAGATCCGGTCTCAGGGGGCAAAATGCCTTCTGTGTATGAAACCAGTACTGACTAGCTCAGACATTGTCTTCCAGAGACTGCAGGCAGCCTGAAACAATAGGGGTGTGCAGAGAGTCCTGATGCATTTCCATTTTTGGACCATGATAAATCCAAAACCTAATAGTAACAGCTCTAAAAATGGCCCGCAGTAATTAGGTGGTTGGGAATTGGTTTGTTTTTTGGCCATCACACACAATCCCTAATGGCCTCACGTCTTCCTGCATTCCAGAGGATACATTTAACCCCTCAAAATTGGACAAAGCCCACAAGTTCTCCTCAAAAACTTTCAGAAACGAGCACCAGCTGGAGCATGGACATGGCAAGCACAATGGAAATGGGAAGCACGCTCCAGAAGTCCTTGGCATTACATGGAAGAAATGAACCACAGGCCCATCGTGTTGTGTTCCATGTACAACTCGGTCCAAACCTCTGATTTTTAAAAAATGCAACCCATGCACATAAAATACAACACAGAGCCCGTTTTTACCCTAAACCGCTGGATTACAGACAATTGCTCCCCGTTTTTGGGGTTTTGCTGACACCTGGTGTTCTGGAAAGATGCTGTGTGTTCCTGCAAGTTCCCTGCCCTGGCTCCCGTTGGGGTGGCCCCTCTCTCGGGTCAGACTGGAGCCCTGAATTTGGGGGAGACCCTGAGAAATGCAGGCGTTCAGTTAGATTTCAGAGTCCCTGTTTTAACGTCTCAAGACAAGAGCAGGGCTGCAAGAGTGTTTGCACAATGTGTTACATCGCTGCAAACCTCACAGCTCAGATTGACTTCAGGAATCGGGGAACCTCAGACCTCATTTATCATAGAGCAGTTTGGCTGGGAGGAGAGCTTAAAAATCATCTTGTTCCAAGCCCCTGCCATGGGCAGGGACACCTTCCCCTGGACCAGGCTGCTCCAAGCTCCATCCAACCTGGCCTTGAACACTTCCAGGGATGGGGCAGCCACAGCTGCTCTGGGCAGCCTCACAGGGAAGAATTTCTTCCTCATATCAGTTCACCACATTTGATGAAGCTTTTTTGTAAGTGGCAGTGTTTAGATCTGAGGTACTTGCTTGCTCCATTGAATTATAGCCTGATGAGGGTTTTCACTACCTCCTTTGTTTTTAAACCCTTTTCAGAGTAGTCTCTGCAAAACGTGTCCCACTTTTACACCACCACGTCATTGGGCCACAAAGCACGATGCTGATCTTTAAATAGGGACAGTGGCTCCCCCAGGAATAACCAGCACCCCCTGCTCACAACCAGCTGCCCAAAGATTTGCTGGACCAGCATTTCTTTCTCATTCCAGATGCCTGCCTTGCCCAAATCAGATCAGTTACATCTCCCCAGGCAAACACTGCTGCAGACAAAATTCCATAAATAAATCCACCACAAGATTTAAATATTTACAGCACAAACATGAAAAGAAAACCCTAAAACACCAGGTAACAGATGAGAACAGTGTGACTGCACTCCTATGACACAAGCCAGAATTCCAGGGGTCCAAAGAAAATTGTCATGTCTCCTCTGAGGAGCAAAACTGGTGTTTGGGATCTTCCCCCTGCAGCTCCCACAGGTCCAACATCCACTTCCCAGTGACACACAGGCTCTGAGAGTAGAGACTTGAAGGATCTTTCATGTGGACAACATTTCCAGCTAATTGGCCCCTCACTTCCCCTGAAAGAGGTTGGTGCAACCAGTCCAAAACCCCACAAGGCTGTACAAAACCCCTCAAGAAAATAGTCATTATAGCACATTCCTTTCACATAGGGCAGTTGGTTTGCTTACAAGTGTTTTACAAACTCAGTCCTTTAATGTTTCTCGTTGGAATTTATGGTAATATCAGCATTGTTTCTCATTGGAATTTATGGTAATATTTCCTTTTTATCACAGTATAAACATTGATCATTTTCAAGCAATGACTTGTCCTGAAGTTTATTTTTTCCACAAAACAGAGGCAATTTTGTGCAAAAAGGAGGCTGATACGAAGAAAACAAAACCAAATACTGTTTTTTTCCTTATCCTTTTTTTTTTTCTTGTCCCAAGAAACGCTGTGGCTGCCCCATCCCTGGAAGTGTTTAAGGTCACCTGGCTTTGAGAAACCTGGTCTAGTGTAAGGTGTCACTGCCTATGGCAGAGGTGTTGGACCTAGGTATTTAAGATCCCTTCCAACTCAATCTGTCATTCTATGACTTTTTTCCCAAAAATCATAGAGGAATCTCACACAGTTACAGATGATTTTCAAGCAGCCTGTTGGAGTTCGTCTGTAGCAATGTCAACAATTTACAATTTTGTAAATAATTTTACATTCTCTCCTGGAGGATGTGTATTCTTTTACTGCAACATCCTGCAGGTGTTGTAATCTTGATTAAGGATAATTAAATACTTTGCTGGCTTTCTGAATGACTGAGAAAGTGCATCTCATCCTCGAATAATGCAATCATAGAAGGGTTAAGGTTGGAAAAGACCTCGAAAATCACTGAGCCAAGCCCTTAACCCAGCACCAACACGTTCATCTGTAAGCCATGTCTCCAAGTGCCACATCCACGCATTTTCTGAACACTTCCAGGGAGGGTGACTCCAAAATTTCACAGCCCTGAGAAAACCTTATATCTGCTTTTTTGGGACTGTGTGTGAGAACTTAATTATGGTGCTTATTCTTTCTGTCACTCACTGCCCGTCCTTCAAAATAAAGACTAAAAGTATTGAACTTCTAATTTGAAGTTGAAGCTCAGATGGAGGTGATGGTGAACCTTTTATTGTAGGGCAATACATAAATAAATCATGTCTAATACATAATCATTCTTATCACTGCTTGCTAATAACTTTCTGGAAAGTCAAAGTTATTCTCTTGAAGAGAGTTTCAGTGTTTTTACACCAAGAATACCACACTGCCTGCTTAGCAGCAGTTATTTACAGTATTTTTCTCTTCTGTACAGTAAAAGATCACAGAAACAAAACAAACAAAAACCCAACAGAAACAAACAAAACAAAAACCCAAACCAAATAAAAACACCCCAGTGTCCACACTTGGTTCAGTGCAGCAAAGAAAGGTCCAATATTTACAGCTTTCAGCTGTAGGAAATTTGAGTTCCTGGTTCTTCAGTGCAGTTTTGAGGGCAGTAGCAGACAGACCCTAGTTAGGCCAAGGCTCTTCTTTTCTAGCTGAAGGAGAAACACAGTCTTGGGTCTTGGCTTGTCAAAGTCTCGGGAAGACCCTTGGGCACTGGATTGCCCCACAGCCTGCAAGGACAGCAAACGTGTTACTGCAGGACCACATGTGGTGCCCAAGTATCTGGAAGATGTGGATCCCAGGAGAGAGTGGGACAGGGCAGGAATGTACATCAGGAGTGAAACCAGAAGGAATGAGAGAAAGAAAACTTTTAAGAACAAATGCAACACTTCCTGATGGTGATATTACACAATTGGATCTTCAATTTTTGCCTCATCTAAAGCTAGCAAGCTTTTCAGTTCCCTTTTTCCCTGGACTTTCTGAGGAGGTGAAGCTGTCCTAGAGAACCCTCAGCTTACTTGTCTTGTGTCTGCATTCCCTGCAATACCCTGTTCCCTGCCAGCTAACCCAGGGCAGCAGGGGCATGGGGCACATCTGTCCCCAGACTTGTCACCCTGACCTTTCCTTGCTGAGCCAAGACCCAGCCATGGAGCTCCGTGAACCTGCTCACCTTATGGACTGAATTTCTGGGCACGTGGCAAGTTCCTCCGCGAGCTTCGTGGCCCCACAGGCTCCTATGCGGTTTTTCTCCAGGCTGTTTCGAAAACCAAAGGAGAATTTTGAAATCCCAAACAAATCCAGAATGGAAAACAGCTGAATTGTCCCATGCTGTAACTACCTTAAGTAAAATAAGTGTTAATTCAAGTGTATCAGCCAGGCAAGGCTGGCCCTTGGTGCATGGAGCTTAAAATGCAGAAGCCTGCCTGTTGTTCCTAAAGTACATCTCCTTCTTGGAACTGCCATGCTTGAAGGCTCAATGACAGAAAAATGAGCATTCCCAGGGTGTTTCTCGGGGCTGTACTCACTCTAACACCTTCAGCTTTTCCATCTTTGGGAGAGCAATGGCCAGCTCTCGGGCTCCTCCATCTCCAAGGGCATTCCAAGACAGTCTAAGGCACAGAAGAAATCCCAATTGTGAATCTGGATGAACACTGGTGCCACTACTGTGACATTACCCCTCGTGGATTAGCCTTTTTGCAAGAGCTAATCCCCCTCTCATCATGACAGGTAAACATTCCCCTGGATTACAAGCTTAATTTTGAGGATTTTCCTCCATTTCATCCCATATTTCCATGTATGATAAGACACCAAGAAGTGTCTGTGGACTGTGGTTATGTCAGAGTCCTGCAGGCCCAGGGAATGAGATGTGAAAGCTGGAAATGGCTGAACACACAGCTTTACCCCATGACATTTTTTAGCAGTGTATTTCATCAATTAGTAAATTACTGGTACATTTACCACCAAAATGCACTTGGTAGAAAGTATTATAAATAGTTTTAACAAAAATTCAGCAGGGTTAAAATGAGAGTGACCTGTGCGTGCTGAGGTGCCTCCCCACCCATCCCCACTCACATGATCTCCTCCATGGAGGGGCACTGTCGGAAGCCAAGGGAGAGTGATTTTGAAGCATCATCAGTGATCCCACAGAATTTCAAGCTGAAGCAGCAGGGAGAGAGCAAACAGGACATGGTGTGCTGGTGTCAGAGCTGTGGGCAGCACAGCCCCACGTCCTGCCTGCTCTGCCCCCACGCCCCGGCACTCACTCGATCTTCCGGAGGTGTCGGAAGCACGGCAGCCCCTGGGACAGGGCATGGATACTCTGCTCCCCAAGGTCATTTTCTGCTATACTGCAAGAGTGATGGAAAAGCTTTGAGTGGTGCAGAAACAGCAGGTACAGTCAGAGAAAAGCCACCATGAGAACATAACCATGTGCACTAGGAAGTTAATAACTACTACCCAGACTAAGTGAGGACTCTGTAGACAGCAGGGATGAGCCAGGTTGGTAAACAGCAACTCTAATTCACTGCTTGGTAAATGGGAGTGACAGCCCTGCTGTAGCTCACAACCTCAGTCCTTGCAGCAGGGAATTGTTGCAGACAGAAATATGGGGTTATAGCTGTGTCAAAGAAGGACAGATCTGCAGCACATCATGTGTTGCATGTGAAACTGGAAATACAAAGTTATACTGGAATTAATGGCTGGTGTGACTTGAGAGGAAATGACAGCAAGGGAGAATGGGAAGAAGACCTTCCAACACCTTAAGGGACTACAAGGGAGATGGAGAAAGACTTTGGACAAGGGCATGGAGAGACAGGACAAGGGGGAAGAGCTTCAAGCTGAGGGAAGAATTAAAGTGGATATTAGGAAGCAGAAATTCTTCCCTGTGAGGGTGGTGAGGCCCTAGCACAGGTTTCCCAGAGAAGCTGTAGATATCCCATCCCTGGAATTGTCCAAGGCCAGGCTGCATGGGGCTTGGAGAAACCTGCTCCAGTAGAAAACGTCCCTGCCCATGGCAGGGGGATTGGAGTAAGGTGATCATCAGAGGTCCCTTCCAGCCCAAAGCAGCCTGTGAAATGTTTGGCAGCATCCCAAGTGCACTTGCCATGACCTACCTTATCTCTTCCAGCAGCCCACACACCGCCAGGGCTCTGGCCAGCTCCAGCCCTCCTGCCTGCCTGATGTTATTGTTCTGGAAGCTAACCAAGGAAATATAAGCATTGGAAGATTATTTTGGAATAAAGCTTAACAGAAGCTCATATTTAACCTGCCAAGAACCTAGCCAGAGATGGTGTCCCACCACTGGGCTTCCTTTTCTAAGTTATTTTTGAAGACATATTAGACACAGGCTGGAAGAGATGCCTCTAGGCTAACTGAACCCAGTGGGCACTTCTAGCTCACCAATTTCTTGCTTTGTTACTATAAAATGCTACAAGAAAGTCCTACGTGTTAGAATCCTGGAAAGACTCCCTCAAAAGTTTTAAAAATACAGTAACACTGAGTTCAGGGAAAAGAAATGACTCAGAGGTGTCTGCACAAAAATGTAAGGGTCCATAAAAGATGCTCATCCTTATGCTTACATTCCACCAGAGGCATCAGAAACCACCATACTAAAAATCAATTTTAAGGCTTATTTTACTGTGTAATCTCTTCCTGGTTCATCTCAATAGCTATTGCTGCAAGAGATTGAGCAAGAAGAGTTTATGTGACTCTTACAGAAAAGTAATTGTGGAGGGTTTCTCAATCCTGGGACACTGAAGTTACTGTCTAAACAACCAGTGCCCATGCCTTTTCCCTCTCTTCTTTCAGCAATCCCCACACTGCCCAGGATATCCAGCCTTCCTGGGGCAGAGGCTGACACTTACTGCAGGATCTTCAGGTTGGTCATGTGAGGCAGACAGAGGGCAAGTGTCACTGCTGTCCTGTCTCCAAAACCATTCCTTGATAGTCTGGAAGAAGCACAAGTGAAATGTTACTGGCAGTGGAGTCCAGAGCCTCATTGCTCACCTGTGGGTCACCCCCACAGGGATGAGTGACCCCCATTCCTCACTCACACGTGCCTGGGACTGTGCTGAAATGTGCCTGATGCAAAGGACTCTGAGGGTGGGAGGAAGAAACAATGAGGTTTTGAAATCCTGCAGCAGAAGTTAAACAGGAAAGTAAAACTGAGCTGCACTTCCCAGAAGGACACTTGTCTCCCAGACTGGGTAACCTGAGCTGGAATTGAACTGAAATTGCACTTTTTCATATGTGCCCTTAGTACACACACCCTAATCTGAAGGTTACAAGGACAGTTCCAGTAGCTTAATTGTAACTTTTCCTTATATGTTATTTTTAACTTTTATTTATTTAGTATAGCAGGGCACATACATTCTTTAAACGGGTCTGGAGTAGAACATCAATAGATCTGACTGTGTAAAGCCTTTTGCTGTCCACTTCCCTCCATTTTTGCAGCCAGACAGATTAATGGTAATATCTTGGGCAACACAGGCACTGAACAGATCCTGGCACTGCCAATAAACCTGCAGATTTAGCTCCTGAATCCATTAGTCCACTAATGCAGACTGCACAGTTCTTGGAAATCTTCAAGACAATCCAGCAACTAATCCCCAAAATTTCCACACCCAGCAGCAGACATTTCTATGGTGTGTAGCAGAGTTTTTACCCTGCTCTCACAAGAATCAAGTGGCAAAACTGATCTTGGCTTTATCGGAGCCTTATCAGATTTCTTTGCCTTGATTTTTGCCCAGCTTCCCAAAAGGATATTTGAAATGACACACTTACAGTAACTCCTTGATGTGCTTGCAATTGGCAAGAGCTCCCACCAGCTTTTCCCCTCCAGCAGGACTAGGACAGTTCCCTGAAAGGCTAAAACAAACATGAGACTCTCAGTGACTAAATGAGAACCAGATTGTACCAGATTAAGATATTTCACTGTTTGTCTGCTGTGATGGGAGACTCAGGCCCCTGGGAAATGGTCTGGGGATTTTTGGGTTCTTTTGTCAAGTGCTGAGTAACTCCTGGCCCTGCAGGTACTGTGAGGAAGGAGTAGTTTTCCCTCTCACAGACAGAACTGGGAACTTCCTTTTCTTGCTCCAAGTCATTTCCAGGTTTTCCATTTCAAAAAGTTATAAGGCCTGCCCCAAGTGCTGAGCCTAACAAAGAGCCTGGATGCTCCAATTTCTGTTCCCTGGGAGAAGGAACACTTTGAATGTCTCAGCCCTGCCCAGGGATTCCCACATTGGCTTCCCCACCAACCATGGCCATGACCAAAACAGCTGAACCAAAACAAAGGGACTCACTCAATTTTCTTCAGGTTTTGCATTTCCAGCAGGACAGCAGCAAGATTTATCAGGCCTGGATCTCCAATCTCGTTGTGGCTTAAACTTTAAAGAAGAGAAGGAAGGCTGTGTTGTAAAGGAAAATGGCAGGCAAAATACAAGATCTTATTTAATGTGTTCCATTTGATGGATGACACCTCAGGCCTTGCCAGCAGAATCAAAGAGCTGTTTATCTCAGCTTCCTCACAGAAAATTAATAGGTGTTAATGAGGAATTTAAAAAATTGCAAAGAACAATTAAAATCACTGGATCCTGTTGACAGGTAGGAAATTACTTCAACCAGAATACCAAGACAGGATGAAGACAGGTGGTTATTATTTTACAAATTGCTACAGCAGAGAATGGACAGCATCTGGAAAGCGAGGGAGAAAGCAGAGCAAGCCTGGGGTTGGCTCCAGTACAGATCTTTTCAGGCAAATGCTGGGTCTGAGGCTTTCTCAGGACAGAAGGGAGTCCTGGTCCTGTTCTGGATCCTAGGGAAGATTTAAATTCTGGTTAATCCATTTTCTACATGACTGCAGCAGAGTGGGGTAAGACCAAAGTTTCCTTTTATGAACATTAAGTTCTGATTTCCTCTAGTCCAAAGTACCTCATACATGAGCATTTTGCAGCCTCCCTTCTTTTGTTACAATACTGTGTTTAAGCACAGTAACATCTGGTTTAACATCCGGTTCTCTCCAAATGCTGACATTTGTGATCACCTCTCTGCAAGAAAGGAGAAACTTACTTGATTTCCTCCATGTTGTGCATTTTCCTCAAGGCTTCTGCCAGTCTGGAGCAGCCATCATTACCAATGCTGTTGTGGTCCAAGCTGGAAACAACATCCCCAGGAGAATGGACATTCAGCTCCTGCTGCTCAGCACGCCAGGCTGGGCCAGCTGCAGTCACATACTTACATCAGCCTCTTCAGGGATGGCATCTCACACAGCCCCAGCACAAGCCCAGGGATGGCAGCACTGCTGAGTTTCATGTAGCCCAGGCTGAAGGATGAAATAAAGGTACAATTGACTCCCCAGGGACAGTTGTGTGAGCACTCAGCACAGAGGGGAGCAGAACAAGAGGGAGAGATGGGGGAGTTTATTCTAGTCCCTGTGAATAATTTCAGTTTTGTTCTTTAATGCAATTCTAATGGACCTGGATTCTGATAAAATACCAACAGAATACCAAACCTCTGGAGCAAGAGCCCAGTCAGTCCCTCATGGAGCAAGGTGCCACTGTGGCCACAAGGCAACATGATCCATGCAGAAAAAAAACCACTGTCAAAACATTTGATTCTCCACTGGAATTCTCTACCACAAACTACTGATCTCTGTCTCACTCACTGTTCATTGCAAATATAAAATAATTGTTGCTTCTTCCCCACCAGAAGCCATCAGGAAAAGTACATCTGTCCACAGTACATGCAGAAGAGGGGCTGCAGTTAACTAAAGCTTCTAGAACATCCTGTCAGCCTCTGGTCAGCCTGGCAACAACACACTCACTTGAGTTCTTCAATGGCCTGGCAATTCTGCAAGCCTGAGATCAAACAATCGATTCCAGCTGGTGAAACACTGCTAGAGGTCAGCCTGCAAAACAGCAAGGAGGAAACGAGGAGATGAGGTCTCAGCACACTGAGACAGAATTTACTCCGCTGACAGGAAAATTGCCCCATCTCAAATCCCAGACAGCACAGACATCAGGGCCAGGAAGTTTGGAGAGATTTCCACACCCCTGGCGTGCAGGGCTAAGAGGACTGGCCTGAGGCAGAGGACTGAACAAATAATAAATATGTGGAAAAGGTCCCAGCTGGACACACACCCCCAAGGTCACACATACCCAAATGTCTTCAGCTCTGGAAGGGGCAGCAGAATCCTGCCTAGCATTTCTGCTTCATCCTCATGGAGCTCCATGTGAGACCATCTGCAAGGAGGTAACAACAGCTCTGGGCTTTGTGCAGTGCTGGCAGGAGGTCTGTGCCAAGGCACAGCTAAGACACAGCAGTGCTGGGACCCTGGAGGAGTGACAACACTGACACTTGGCAAGGTCCCACGGGAGCTCCCAGCCATGGTAAGTGAGTATAGCTTGTCTGGGCACTGGGAAATTGAGATGATTCCAAAGGATACCCCAGCAAGCCACCAGGTCTGTGGGTCTTTCCTATTTTCCATTCAAACACTCCAAGAAGGGGACCCAAAAGCCAGGGACTGGGACCTTGCTCTGGCCTCTCTCGTGCCCTACTGTGTGCTCAGAGTGCTGCTCTCACCAGGACAAGCTGCTCCCCTCCCTAAAAATCCTTTACAACACCTGGTAACTCACCTCAGCTGCTGAAGCTGAGCACATTTTTCACAAAGCCTTTGGAAGAGGGAGTGCTTAATTTCTGGCTCGTACAGACCCAGTCTGCAGGACACAAACACACAGCACAACTGTCAGTGAGGATCAGCAGAGCCCAGTGCAGCATCTGGTGTCCCCCAGGGACACAATGAGGGACAGAGCAGGGCTTTCAAGAGCCCACCTGGGGCTTTCCTGCCATGTCCCATTTATGTCACAGTCCATGTAGAGGAACACAGCCCATCCCCACTGCCCAGGACAAGAGCTGCCTCTTCCTTCAGCTGCACAAAGGAAAAGGACACTGGTGCTGCTCTCTCTGCACAAGCCAGCATGCCTTAAGAGTCTTCAAAGTGCTCCTGATCCCTGTTTGCTCCCAGGAAGGTAGATGGATTTTTTTTGCCTTGTTTAGGTCCCATATGGGCCTGAGGGAGAGCAGCCCAAAGGACTAAGCACATCCTTAACGTTTCTTCTGCATGTGTGGCACAGAGGCACCCTGAGACTGAACCCATGGAGCCTTACATGCTCTGAAGATACTTTTCATCTCAGAGTAAAATTCAAAACAAGCATAAAATAATGATAAATGGTTGCTTTCTCACCTGCTAACGACTGATTCTGTCTTCTCCAGGCAGTGTGGGAATCTTATGACTAATTGGAAGAGGGTTTTATCTTTACAGATCCTGAAAAGTTAGAGATTAGAGAACAGCATAAACCTGTGAACTCCTGAGAGAATAAAATACTATTTTCCATAGGAAAAATCAGGAGGACCGAATGGAACAGGATGATGCTGGCACATGAAAGCTAATCACCCATCTCTGAAGGGGTTTGTAATCTTTAAACTACCTCCAAAACCAGCCTAAACTTGGCACCCTTTCTGCCAAGGGCAACCAGGAACATGGTCTCCTTCCCATTAAACCCGAGTTGTGCGACCACAAACCTTCTAAGCCCTTCTACCCACCAGCCATTTGGGTTAAAATTGGTTCAAGTGGGCAAATAGATCACAAATGAACTGGAGACAGTGAATAAACAACAGAAGAACCAGTGCTGGCTTCAATCTCATTTCCTTAAGAGTATCAGGCTAAAAGGAAATATCTGGAAGACCCCAGAACCTGAGGTGCCACTCACATAATCTCAGCAATGTTTCCAGAGGCCTGGGCAGCCAGCTCCAGAAGGTTCACGACTCTCTCCCTGCACACCCATGGCTCTTCTATGCTGCAAAGCAGAACACAGGCAGCTCTGCTTCATCCACACACTTGGATCCACCTCTGCCTCTGTCAGCTGAGTGCTCCTCGCTCCAAACACGTGGAAAGGTGGAAAGGCTGCTTGGCTTAGCAGAGCAATGTCTGCATGGGAAACAGGGCAGCCTGGCAGCAGGCAGAAGCAGCCCAGCTTCCCTGCAGAGGAGGGGAGAATGTGCCACCCAAGCAAAGTGCAGGATGCTCTGGCAGTAGGAATGTGTCCACCAGAATGATCACCCTTCTTTGTGAGGATGGCAGGGGTCTGTAGAGCCTGCACAGTTTATGGCCAGAGCTCTACACCAGGCTCAGTGGGAATCAAGGAGATAAAGCCAAACACCAATAACAGAGTCAGCCACAGGAATTTCTCAGGCCAGTGCTCCCTGCCTTTGGAAGAAGCACGGTTCACTTTTTTTTTTTTTTTTTTTTTATGAAAGGAGATCTCAGAAGATCAGATCAGAATCTACAAAAGCACAATGACACGGTACCTGATTTTCAGCAGCCCCATATCCTTCCTCAGGGAATGCAGAAGTCTCTCTGCAGCTTGGATTGTCATGTTGTTATTTGAGGACCTAGAACCAAAGCTCACTGTAATGAACAGCTCACAGATGAACCCCCCCAAACGGGTCCAAGAGCCATTAACTCACGTGTACTCTGTCAGACCAGTGCACTTTTCCAGGAGCAAGAACAACTTTTCCAAGTGCTCTGGCTGAAAGTTGCACTCTGCCAGTCTGAAAGGACGAGAAAGAGAACAGCCTTTGTTCATCACAAACAGTTCAGGCTTTCTGAACTGGAAATATCAGGCAGCACAGCCTAACCCACAGAGAAAGAAGGATGGCACAAAGCCCTTAAACATATTTAAAAGTTTCAAAAAAACCCAACCAACCAAACAAACCCCCACCCCAAAAAAAAAAAAAAAAAAAAAAAACATAAAAAAAAAAAAAAAAAAAAAAAAAAAAAAAAAAAAAAAAAAAAACCCCCCCCCCAAAAAAAAAAAAAAAAATACTGTGGCAACACTTCAAAAGCATCTGTTGAGATATTCTGGTAGAACATACCTGTATGCTACAATGGCACTGCTTTTTGTAGGACCCTGTCCTGTGACTGTAGGAACACCTACAGGTGCCCAGGTGAGGAACAGACAGTGGGGAAGAAAAGCAAGGGATGTGGGATTCTCTGTGGTGTGAGAAAGCTCTTCTCACAAGGTGAGTCAAAGGAAATGTATCAGCTGTTAGTTCAAAATACCACCATGCCAGGAGAAAAAAGAGGTTTTTTTCTGTCTTGTCCCTCAAAAAAGGACCACAGCTTTGCCAAAGAAATCACCACAAAAAGTCTGTAACATTACCTCAGAATCTTTCTTGGATCATCTCCGCTTGTCAGCTTGATGATTAAAGTTGCTTTGGAGCACAAACTGCACAGAGGAGACATAAGTGTAAGATTTAGATGGATAATTACTTTTACTAGTGTTCAGAATTTAATGATACCAAACTCCAGAAAATAATCCAAAATAGCAGTGACAGAGGTACCTGGCACAGCTCACCCCTCCCTAAAATAAACCAGCCCAAGGACATGCTTCAATAAGATCTCACTCATGCTAAATTGGCACAAAGGCAGCACTGGTGTTTGGAAAAGCAATTGTGACCTGTCCTGCTTTTATTTGCCTCCTCTGCACTCTCTGTTGAGCTCTGGGGAGAGGTACAACTTTAAAGTAACCCAGAGATTCAGCAGCCACACCTAACTGCAAGAATAAATGAAGTGTCCCTGGTTAAAGTGGCTCAGGACACACCAGCTGCTCCCATGAACACAAACACTGATAAGGTCCCACAGATATGCAGCACAGCCCAGTCTCATGACTGGAATATGTGAGAAAAGCACTTTGTGCCAGAGCAACAGCTCCAGAGCCCATAGGATATTTTAGCTGAGAGGAAAGGAGATAAAATGCAAATCCAAGTAAAAGAACATGGGGAATTTCTATTGCCTCTGAAATCTCAACATACTGAAGAGAACCTTAGAGAGCAATGCTGGCTCCTGCCCTGAAGAGGTTCATTAACAAATATATACATGGCAATAATTGTTGGTACAGCTGAATATCTGTGTCTATACACAAAAATAACCTGGCCCTTTGAAATGGTAGTTCTGCTTGGCAGTTATGTTTGGCCATTCAAAATGGACATAAACCAAAGCTTTAGGCAGTTGAAAACATGGTCCTCATCTTTCTTACCTGAAGATCACAAACTTTCAATAATTAAAAGGAAAACAAGCAGGGAAGACTCATGAATGAATTAATTAATTAAAACAGTCACCTGACTTGAACTTCAGTGGTGTTTCCAGATGTGACAAAGGCATTTATGAGATGTAGGACTCCATCCTGAGAAATCCCATTATGGCTGAGGCTGCACAGAAGGGGAGGAAGGATTTTCACCTGTCAGGAGTCAGGGCTGACCCCAGGCTCCTCAGGCACAGAAGCACAATTCAAGTTAGCACTGAAGACAGAGCAGTTTGTGGGGTGCTGGGCCCCTTCAGCTTTGCTCAGTCACTGAACTCCCCCAAGGCAGCGCTGATGGCTTGGGGGACACAGGAAATGCAATTTTCCTCTTGCACTAGAGAGGCAGCAGCAGCTGGAACATTTACTGCCCCACCAGAAAGGGATGGGGAGAGGCTGTGTAGGGCACAGCTCAGCTCACACAGCTCAGCTCACAGCACCTTGGTCTTACTCAGAGAGGACACTACATCCAGAGGAGTGATGAACTGAAAGCTCTGGGGACTGGCAATGCTATTTCCTGTTGACACTACTAAACAGATTTTTGCTTATTTTCAGCAGGTTTTGGGTCAGACCCTGAGTCACCACAGCCTGGTGGCCTCGAGCTGTGCTCATAGCTCACTCAGAGCTTTCCTCCTAAGGCAGGAGAGGGCAAGAAGCACAAGCAGCAGTTCATGGAGGATCACACCAACACCCTTCTGCTCCTCAGATTCACTGTGTGTTCTCTTACTTGAGGGAACAGGTACCAGGCACTCGATGCAAGTGGTCCAAGAGGCACCTCAGGCCTTCATCTCCCAACTGATTCCTGGAGAGGCTGAAAGGCAGAAGAACATGTGGCCAGCCAAAACTCAGCCTTTGAAACAGGTTGCCCAAAGAGGTGGGGGGTTTTCCTGTGCCTGGAAATATTCAAGGCCTGGTTGGACAGGGTTCTGAGAAACATGATCTAATTGAAGATGTCCCTGCTCATGACAGGGAGTTAGACTAGACAGCCTTTAAAGAGCCTTTCCAAAAAAAAAGGTATTCTGTAATTCTAGATTTCTTTTAAACAGCAATACTCTGCTGAGAAGCTTTGAAGAAAAAAACCTCAAATTTCCTGCACTTCAGTCCTAGCTTAGCAAAACAAGGTCTGTTTAAAACAAATCACTGCCTTATGAAATGACCTCATGCCTAAGCTCCAGAGCAAGCTCAAACTAAGAGCTCAGGTGATACTAAAAATGCCTCCAAAGAGCAAAGGAGTGAAAATTCCAAAGAAGTTGTCCCATCAGCTCAAAAGGACCTGTGTAATTCCCAACTGACTGTGTTTCTCAGCAGTCTGTATGAGCACACATACCCTTGCAGACAGGCTGGGAAACTCCAGGCAATGCTGAACCCCACAAACACAGCTCTCCCCCAGTGACCCTGCTCCAGAGCATGGTAACACCCCAAGCCCCACTTACTCTACTTCTGCCAGCCCCCCGTGCTGCTCCAGGATGCTGCAGAGCTCCTCCACCTGCCCTTCTCCAATGGCACAGCCTGTCAGCCTGTGTGAGACAGCAAGAGTTAAAGCATGGCCAGCAACCAGCTCAGCCTGAGCACTGAGAGCTGCCCACCAGCAGCTGCACCTTTACACCAGTCTCTGTGCAGCACTCCCATTTTTTTGCCATCTCCCTGGTGCTGGGACAGAGGCCTGTTACAGGCTCCTGTCCAGGGGAACTCTGGAGCCATCACTCCAGAGAGCTGCAGACACATCTCACATCACACAGATGTCTAAGTGGAGATTATCCCCCAGAATTTGAGGCACACATTTGGAAAATGCACTGATGAGGCCTCAATTCAGGTGCTCGTGCAGCAGAATTTGGTGCAACTCAGGATGGTCAAAAGCAGCCCAGAAAAAAAGGAGAAAAAGAAAAGCACCGGCCTCTGCCATCCCAGTGCATCCAAATGGTTCTGAATGGTACTTAAGCAGATGAATTGAGCCCTAGAGCTTAAACTACCAGCCCGAGCTCCTTGGCCACCAGCCCATGAATTCTCAATACAAGAGGAAACCTGGCTCCCTGCACTTGTGCTTCAAACCCACCCCCAGTGAACTCAGAAACTGTTCTACACCAGTACCTGCAGAATGTCCTTGGGCTTTGCATGCTTGCTCCTAAATGCAAGAAGGCATTTTCACTTGACCTGAGGCAGACACAAAAGACAGTCCTTCAGCACTGATCTCCAAAGTTTTGTAGGCCCTTTAGGGCTGAGCTGCTGGGCTCCAAACAGTCTGAGTGTCTCACCGGACTTCCACCGCCCTGATTCGCTCACAGAGGTTGATGGAGTTGAGGAGTAAAACAGCACAACGTGGGGACAAGGAGTTCTTCCTAATACTGTAAGGGAAGGGAGAGAAGGAACACTGAAATCAGCTCCTAAGAAGAGAGGCTCCCACACACACAGCCCAATTTTCCCATCCTTCATTTTGAGACACAAAAGATTGGATACATCCCACTTAACTCAGGATGAGGGAGCAAGCACCTAAAGTTTTGAGCATTGGCACTCAGTGCTCCTTTACCTAAAGGAGAGTCTCCTTTAGTCCCCTTTGACTAAAAAGGGAGGACAGACCAAGTACTTACATTGAACTACTCCTCCTTTGGGGCTACTGGACTAAAGGTATCCCAAACTGGAATCTGGGCAATCCTGTCTGGGCAAACTCAGACTCATGAGACCCTGCAGGTCCTCCATGCTACAACACCTTGCAAAAGATGGCCAAGCTCCTTCTGGAGCTTTTAGTCCACTCAGTGGAGAGCCCTATTCCCTGACAGGGCTTCCCTGGCCTGAATTGCCCTCTGCTAAATATCATTAAAGTGCTGCTTTACTTCTAGAAACAAGAAAGGAATGGGTGTGAAAGCATTTCTGCATTATTTTTGCCTTGCTTGTTTAGTTTACAATTACTGATTAATGCTCCTAAGATCTGCTGTGGCATTAACACTTTCCAAACCAATGTTTCATGGCAGCAGTCAGAGCAGGGACCACAAACATTACCTCAGTAGTGAGAGATGACAGAGGGATGGCAGAAAGCTCAGTAATCTCTCGATGCTCTGGTCACTCAGTGAATTTCCAGACAGACTGTAAAACATGGATGGAAACAAAACCCAGGGGAAATTGTTTCAATTCCTAATTATTCCTGTAACATTTACATGGACATGCACGCACAAATGGGCAAATTCTGTAAAAGGACATGTCCAGAAATGCCATGAAAACTGGGCAAGATTTAGTCCTTACAGCCTGATCTTTGTGTTTCTTTATATCCTACAGCCAATCAACATTCCAGTTTCAAGAGTCTTACTTTTCCATTATTGCACATTTACAAAATTATGCTACTGATGTCTTTCATGCAGGTAATAGGGGAATTAAGTTATTTTTATTACTCAGTTTTTGTTCTGACCAGCACTCTAATTTTCTTGGTGGCAAGCTCCTGCCTGGAGTGAGCAGCCCTTCAGGAGCAGCGTTCATGGCTTAGTGGGCCAGGAGCTCTTGCTCTGTACTACAAGCTGAGTTCTCAAGGAATAGAGGACAACAATTGTTTCTAGACACAGGACTGAGGAAGATCACGAGAACACACACATGTTCTGGGGCCTTTACACACTGGTGTGGTAGGCTTAGGAGAGGCCAAGTTCTCTTTGAGACAGGACAGTAGAAAGTCTGGGTTTAGTCAAGCATCTGGGTGAAGATGTGGTGAGAGGGGAGCTGGTGTACACCAGCTGCCACCCTGAACATCAGATCTGGGGTTTGAACATCAAATCTGTGACTGGGGCTGGGGAGACAGACAGACAGACAGCCAGGCTGACTTACTCGATTTCTGTCAGTTGGGGACATTGAGCCAGTATCTGGCACAGCCTGGTGACATCCTCCAGACCCACTCTGCAGTCCCTGAGACTGAAGCAAACAAAGCACTCAGGGAGCTGAACATGAGCACAGGATGCCACCAGCCCCTGCACATCCCAAAGCCTCACATCCAGACAAGGCCCATGCTGACCCTCTCATGGTCTAGGACTAAGAAATCAAAACCTGGGACAAGCAGATGACTTCACCATCCCTGAGATAATTTGAGAGCCAGTCCACCAAAATACCAATACTTTGGGTGCTGCCTCCCTGGTGCCACATCATTGGTGATTCAGTTGTCTCAGGAGACTGGACAGCATCTTTCCCTGCTCAGCACTGTCTTGGCTCTCCTAGAGGAAGGCTGGAAATGGTGCCTCCTCTGTCCTTCTCCAGGAAGGAAATCCTAGAAGCCCTTTTGGGTGACAAATTGGCAGGTCTCCATGGGATGAGTGTAGCAGTCACACAGATCTGTCTCTCATTATTTATGGATAGAATCTTCCTTGCTGGAAAGCAGGACAATCCCCTCAAACCAAGCAAAAGATGCACTATTTCTTTTCCTCTCTGAGGAAGCACAGCTGGGGGATGGCTCTGTCCCACACACCACACTGCCCTGAAGACACAGACCCCCTCAGCTATCTCCCCCTGCAGAGCTGGAGAAAAGGGAAGGGGGCTGCCATACCGAAAGCACTGTCCTTGTGCTTCCTGCCTGGGACGTGCCAGGGAGCCACTTCTCCATCTGCTGGCACTTCTGGGGAGAGAACAGTTTAGCCCATGAGCTGTGCTGATGGCCCATGAAGGGGGTGAGGTGGCGGCAGTGGCCTCCTGTGCCAATCTGCCTTTCCCCACCACCTGCCAGAAGGAGGTTCAACCCATCCCCAGAAGAAAAAAGAGCCTTATTAGCCCTCTTCCAGCATCCAGAGAGCTCTGCAGCCACTCAGCCCGTGGGCCTCTGCTGTGTCCTGGCCAGCAGGGCGATGGCTGCAGCCTGTCTCAGCAGCTGGGCACTGCTGGCTGCTCCATAGCCTCCTCCTCCCATCAGCCATGGAAAAGCTCAGTGGGCTTCCCCCACCCTGGCTGGAGTCTGGCTCTTTATGGACACACCTCAGGGACCCACAGGTCACCTTCTGTTTAGAATTTCATGGGAAGTTTAAAAGACTTGTATGAGTGGGGATGATTTTACCTGACTCTTTCCCAAAAGGTCAGATGAACCACCTGTGTGTGCCCGAAGCTGTAACCAGAAAAGAACGTCATCAGCACGGAGTTTGACAACACAAGCTCCTGTATCACTCCTCAAAAGCCACAGCTTGAGGTTTTAAACAGCAAAAGAATATAAAAAGTACTCCTGGCCATACCTGAGGCTCATTGTTTTAATGTGTTCCAGTGTAGTTAATGACTGAGCTAAGAAAAACACAGAGTTGAGGGAGATCTGGTTGTTGCTAAACCTGCAGGAAGAAAAAATGAAATCAGCTGCTGCAAGCAAAACTGATAAAAATAAACAGCACAGCACAGAACAGTGATCCTTGTGCAGCACTCCCAGGCTGCTGCTTTGCTACTTTCTGCCTGTGTTTCCTGCTAGAGTTGTGCAGGCACAACTCGCTGCCATATATTATAAATTCATCCCTCACTTTTAGTGCTCAGAGAATCACAGAATAACCATGGCTGGAATGGATCTCTAGAGCTGATCTAGTGAAACTCTCCTGCTCAGAGGAGGGTCAGCATGGAGGAGACTGCTCAGGACATTGTACAGCTGGGGTTTTATCACCTCCAAAGACACAGAATTCAGTCTCTCAGGGCAACTTGTTCTTGTGAGATTGTAACTGGAATAGTCTTGGCTTGAGACAAGTCCAATTAATCAGACAGGAACAATAAATATTTTTTTCGACAGTGCAGAATGGTGCCATACTCCTTAAGCCACAGTCCTGTACAGAGCCCTTGCAATGGGAGTGCAGGTGAAATACCCAGATAAACACAAGGCACCAGATGAATTCAGAATCCACCACTGAAGCTGGATCTCCCCAGCACCTCCCTTCCTTCCAAGCTGATCTCCTCAGGAGAGAAAGAACTGCTTCCCCTGCCAGTGAGGAACTTGAAGAGGAAAAATTCAGTGAGTTGCTAAAGACCTCAGGCTGTGTCAGAAGCACCCACACCTGACAGAAAACCACCTGTCCCTTCATGGAGGAGCGAGCACAGAGGCTCCTGGGCACTGATCTCAGTCAGGCTTCAAGAGGAGTCAGACCAGACAGCACAGTGCACCTGCCCAACACAGAATATTCTGCACTGATTGTGAAGAACCCTTCCCAAACGTGCACTGTGCTTCCACAAACAATACTTCTCAAAACCCAGTCCATGCATAAGGAAAAAACAGGGGCTACTCACTTGAGAGAACATAACATTTTCAGTTTTGGGAGACACTGAAACAGCTGCAAAAGTCCCTCATCTCCCAGATAATTCTGTGATAGGCTAGGATTTAAAGAAAGGCATTTAATTTTCACAGTAAAAAACCCCAGTAGGCACCATCAGCTCCATTATCTGTATGTACAGCCACACATTCCAGCAGGCTATGCCTCTACCCCACTCTCTGTACAACACAACACTGCAGAACAAACAAGTGGCATTTTCTCAGCATCCCAAATGGCTGCAGGTGAACACCACGGGAGCTAAGGAGGACTCACTCCAGCTCAGAGATGTGGCCACACTCCTTCAGGACTGCACACACATTCTTCAGGTCACTGGCTTGAAAATTACAGTCTGTCAGTCTATGGAGAAAAAAAATAAATCAATCATCCAGGTCTGCAGGATTTCAAACAGGGTTGTAAACTTCACTCCTCTGAAAACTAGAGAATCATTGAAGAGATAATAATGAAATTAAACAATCCCCTTGAAATGCCTTGCTGCTTACCAGCTCCCACAGAGTCTCCAGGTGATGGGCCAGCCCTGCCTGGCACTGCAGGTCCCTGTGTCCTTTGTAAGGCACAGGGTGGGCACCAGGTCCCAGCCCCTTGCCAGGGGCTGCAGCTGCCTTGGCAGCTGGGAGATTCCCAGTTCTCTTGTGAGTCACCTCTTAGGGATGCAGGCTGCACTGGACATGCATGGAATACAATGAAAATCGGCCAGGGTACCTTATTTTTTGGGAAGTGGTTGGTGTCTGATTTTCCTCCCCATGTTGTTGGTCATCAGAGAACACAGGCTCTTCCCTAAGTGAGCAGAAAACCAGACAAAGGTGAAACTCTTTTGCTTTAGCAGATCCCTGGCTCCAGCCCACGCCTGTATCTTGCCAGCTGCAAGCTCTCCTTTTCTACCCAAATATTTGAGCATGCAGGCAACTGGAGAGAAGGGCAAAGAGATTTCTATCTAAGTTTGATGGAGAATTCAGCTGGATTTTGCTGAATTTAGCTTTTGCCTAAATAAGTTTTGTGAAGAGCCTGTACAAAAATCTGACTGTTCATAATTAAATGGAACTGTCTATGACTAACAAAACTGTGAGACTGTAACTAAAGCTACAATTATAAACAGTAAAACTATAACTAAATCTGACTATTCATAACTAAATGGAACATGGAAAAACTAAAATATCAGAGTTTGAAATGCCACCTGGTGCCTTAAAGGAGTCCACAGATTGTCTGTCTCGGGCTGTCACTCTCTTTCAAGCACAGCCACTGGGTTGTGCCTGTAAAAGTGCTGCTCTTTCTCTCAGGCTAAGGGGTGGAATGCAGTTATTCCATGGGAAATGCTATTTTACAGCGAGCTCAGTCCACAGAGAACAAGGGTATATAGTGAAACTAAAATTCCAGGAGCAACAGGAAACCATTTCTTGGTCAAAGCCTTCGGGCTGAGCTGTTTTAACCATAATTTTATGAAGGGAAAAGCTAAACTCCAAACATCTCCTGATTTAGGAATACCATGATCCAGAATGCATAGTGTTCTTTACTGCAGGGATCTGTGAATCTTTTCAGAATTTGGTGTGGCATTCACTTGGTTTTTTACCCTCACTATTACCAGCTAGCACGGGTGTCATTAAACAGCCTGCTCTGCTTAGGATGCTGTGGGATGCAATGTGCTCTAGAGACATAAAACACTACAGGAGGCAGTGACAACTTTTCAAGCGGCTGAGGAAGCCAGGAGACAGTTCTACATTTAGATTTGGGGGCTGGGGTGGGAGGCAGGAACTGCTGTGAAGTAGAGTGTTACCCTTGGTACCTACACAGGATGCAAGAACTAAACAGGATGCTGAGATAACACCATTTGTGCACACACAGCCTACCTAGGAGGAAGGGAAACACACTCCCTGTCTTCTCGAAACCTCAGGACTGCAGTATCATGACCAAGGCTGTGAAAAAGAGAAGTAATCAATCAATGTCACGGTTTGGTTATTTACAGGATTTCTTGTTTGGTTTCATTCTGCAAAACCCTGGTGACACCAATCACTTGTGCTTAAAACAGTCCCAAAGCAAGAAAAAATAATCTCCATCGGTTTTAAACCCTGATTGGATCAAATTATGCAGTGTCTGATGATCCAGTTTCTCTGAATCACTAGACAAAGCACAGATGAAATTGCTGTACTTGAGCGTTTTCAAGTGAAAGTAATAAAGGAGAATTTCAGTGCTGCTCCAGGAGGTGTCACCAGTTCTCACGCTCTGCAGAGATCCTGTCTCCAAACCTTCCCAAGGCAGAGAGCAGGGAAGCATTTTAAAACTCCCCCATGCATGAGAGGACAGGCAGATTTGTAAGCTCAGATTGTGGCTGATGGCCTGGCACGATCAGCTCACAGCCCTGTGTCACCAAGTGCCAGCGCCAGGAGCCACCTTGGGACACGCTCTGCACCCTGAGGTGACTCAAAAACCTCAGGATACAACTCCCAGCCTTGTACATTGGATTAACCCTAGGCATGATTCAAGACCTACATACCTGACCTGCAGCTCCATCACCTTCTGGCAGGTATTTACTGACTTCAACAGGCTGCAAATGCCACTGACAGAGAGGCGGTTTTGGCTGAGACTAAGAAAGAAAAAGGCAATGAGCTGGTCCCTGAAATCCCACAGGATTGTGCTGTCCTGGGAAGCAGCTACCAGTGCTCTGCATGCTTGAAACCATTTCCCTTCAGAAGAGGGCAGGTTGGCTTTGGACAAGGCAACACTTACTTCAGCTGCTTTGAAATCGAAATACAGGAGAGGCTTTCCAGCAGACAACTGCAGCCTTCATCTCCCAGCTTGTTGCCTGATAAACTGAAGCATTTTCCAGTTAGTGGGGACTGATTTGAGCAGTAAAAACAAAGCCCTCAAAACCTGCTTGCTTTCCCTTTCCTACAAAAAATTGCTTTTTTGCCTGGACTGTTCTGTCTCAGATCAATCTTCCCCGCTTATTTCTACATGAATCAACTTCAGACAAAAAGTTTTAGCCCTTGGGCAACATGATTCATGCTTTAGACTCAAACCGTCTTGCTTTAGGAAATCTATGATCTTTAAGGCCCTTTCCAACCCAAACCAGTCTGTGATCCTGTGATCCCCTGCTCCACATCACCTGCCTAGAGCCACTCAACAGAAAAGAAAGGAGGAACTTACTCCACTTCAGAGAGACAGGGACAGCTCTGGAGAATGGCCACAATCATCTTGGCATGTTGGGGAAACAGCCTGTGATCCTGCAAGCTGTCAACAGGAAGGCTTGGTGAGCAGTGAGGGGATGGGGGTGCCCCTGGCTGGGCCAGACAGGATTTCTATTGTCATTTTTATTTACTGATTCAGGTTTATTTCAAACTTTTCCACATGTGGGAATATCCTCTGTCCTTAAGGATGAACACACCTGTTTCTCTGGCTCTTCTACAGTACCTGTCATCTGCAAATCAAATGCACCAGCAGGATTCTGTGTCTACTCTTACCATAAATTCACATATCTAGATGGAATTATGTGTTCTTTATTCTCTTCCAACTTCAAATCCGGAGATCTGCAAACAAGCAAAATATTTGGCTTTTAGTATGCTTTCATGAAATATCTGACAATTTGGGTCCCACTTAATATTTCCCAGCAGAAACCCCCAGGTCTGTGCTCTGTGTCTTGCAGCAGTTTTGCAATAAGAACACGGCACCTCAGCTTACCCAGGCTCTAAAGAGCTGCTGTCATGGAACTGGCTGTAGGTGTGGGTGCAAACCCAGCTATTTTTGGTTACATTTCCCATTGCTCAGGCAGATGCAAGGGCAGTGGGCACCAGCTGTGCTGTCATTGTGGTTTATGGTGACACCAATGGCTTCGGTCAGCATAACTGAACACAGGAACCACAAGTGCAGTGTCTCACCTTTGAGCTTTCCCAGACGTGCCAGAAAAATAAATAATCATGGTGTCCACCCTGAAAAAGAGACCCAGGTCAGTATTAGGAAAGAGGTGGGAGGATGCCATTTATTTAGCAGAGGTGTTTGGTGAGGACCAAAGCTGTTGCCTGGATGCTGAGGAGAGTTTTACATCTCTCTCACCAGCTCACTGGCAGAGCCAAGCAGCAGCCACGTGCTCAGAGGGGAAAGGACACTGCACTCAGTGCCAAAGGACACCTTGAGCTGGGACTGCAGATGAGACAGGTACACCCTAAAAAAGATTGGGCCAGGATTTTTTTTTTTTTTCTTTTTTTTTGCAAGACCAGAAGTTTGTTGGAAAAAGATTCGGTAGGAACTCCCTTCCAACAAGAAAAATAAGAAAAAGCCATATGCAATTTGGGTTACACCAGGGATTACTTTGACCTGTTAAACTTAGAACATAAGACAACCACAAGAGCCAGGATGATTTAAAAAAAAATCTACCCTTTGTCACACCGGACACACGAAAACCCCAAAACCTGTAATTTAAAGGAATGCAGTGCTAGAGCTAAATTCACACATTTTCACTAAACTTAGCTGACTGATAGCAAATTTCTGCCAGTTAGTACAGAATTTCCTTTCTGATATATTGCAGAGCTTAGATGCAAGTTTAAATTCTGTTATACAAGAAGAAATACCATACCCTGCAAACGGTTTTATAGACCAAGGATAAAAAGACCTATTAAAATACAAAGAGGAAGTACATGGTATAATGAATTCACATTTTGTTTCCAATAGAAAAGAAAAAATTAGTCAAACTGATTTTTGTTCACTTCAATTAGCTAACAATTAAGCTGAAAAACAGTGTCCATTTGAAGTCAGCATCTAAAGAAACAACCTACTTGCTTTTGTAAGAGCTCCCATGTACTGATACCTGGCACAGAGTTCAGTAACATTTTGACACACGATGCCTTCCTTTGCCAAACTGAGAACAGCATTCAAGGAAAGATGGTTGTTGCTCAGGCTGTGAACATGAGGAAAAATACAATTTCAGCTGCTGGACCCCACAGCATCTTCTTGTGTTACACAAATGCTCTCTGCTCTGTTCCCCAAACCTCCTGAAGCACACGATCTTTTAATAAGGGTATTTCTCAAAAACTTCTGAAATTTCCATCTCAGACTCAACAAAAGCATTATCAGATCACAATTTTTTCTCTGCAAGCTGTAGCTCCCATGAATTTAGACTCAGAGATAACTCTTCCATGTGCAGCAGAATGATCATTAACCAGTTTTGGGTTAGTTAGTGGAGGTAGCTCATACCTTCATGATTACACCACTGATCCACAGTGCAGTTCAACTCTCACTACAACAAATCCAATTTAATTATAGCTTATTAAAGCAGGGAGGCCTGAACACAATCTCCCAGCCTCTGAGGATTTATTCTTTAATTGCACATTTGTTCTATTTCTTGTTGGGCCTCATTAGATATGAAACACAAACTCTTGCTTCTACAAATCCTCTGCTTGTTCTCAGGGCCACTCCCGAGAGCCTCAAAGGAACCATCCCTGAGAACAGCAGTGTGTGTGTAACAGAGATGGGTGAGGGAGTGGAGATGGCAAATGACACTGTTTTCCTGCCTTTTCTGTTCCAGGCTGGTGTTCTCTACAAGCTTTTTCCAGCGTGCCCAGGAAAGCAAGAGCAGCAGATACATTCCTCCTTTCCTCCCTCCTTCTGCCATGCTTTTAAACACTTCTAACCACACTGCAAAGCCAGTGATTAATTCCTGGATGGGATCCAGCAATGACTGCAAGTATTTTGGATTCACCTGCTTGCACCTGAGGGTGTGTGGAAGACTTTTAAAAGCAGAGTGTCTCCCTTTCAGCTGGGGTGGGCAGGGAGTGCTCTGGTTCTGTGTCTCTGTGTTTATCCCTGTCCTGTCACACAAACTGCACTCAGACTCCAGCACTTAGAGCAGCTCTGCTGCTGCTTCAACAGCCCCTGGCAGCTCTTCAAAGACTTTAAATCCCTGCAGCCATGCTGGTTCTCTCCACCTAAAAAGCTGCAGATCCATGCTGGGAGTTTTGCTAGCAGTCTGCTCCTCTCAGTCAGCTCTGGACAGCCACAGGAGCATCAGAAAGAGCAGCACAGGAGGAGAGGGCTTAGAAAGGCTGGGGAGACTCTAATGGAGCCACCCTCCCCTAATCAGAGGTGAGATACCTCAACCTGAGCCTCACCAAGGGGAAGAGAAGAGGAAAAGTCAAGCTAGGCACTGAGCTGAGCACAGCCACTGTAATTCCTGGAGAGGTGTCAGTGGTGCCAGGACTCCCTTGGGATGATTTTAAAGGAACAAGATAGGCTCAGCCTCACAGTTCTTATCTCAAACTGAGTCCACTGCAATGTCTGTGCCTCAGCTTGGTGCCCCATCTCTGTGCTATGCTTGGCTTCACAGTAGCCAAGGTTAAGCCATTTTTACTCACTCTACTTTCTTCAGCTTTTCCATTCTGGAAAACAGGTCCATCACCCTCTTCACTTCTGGATCCTGTATCCGATTGCCCTGCAAGCTGCACAGGATTCATTTGCATCAGAATCCCAAGGAAGAAATGGTTGATTTGATGGCCATTGCCACAATGCACTCACTTTATTTCCTCAAGATGGGGGCACTGTGATGCAGCCTGGACCAAGTTAGTCATCCCCTCAGCTGTGATGGTCCCACCTGTCAGCCTGGAAAGAGAAAGGATCACTCAAACCAAGCAAAGGGAGGACTAGGATCCCCTGCAGCACACGGCAAGCCTGTCTCAGAGCCATGCCTGCAGCATGTGCCCAGCATACAGACACTGAGGCAGCAGCCTGGCTCTGCCACCTGCACCCAATTTCATACTTCTTTTCCAGCAGGGCAACACAAACCTACTCTTGATACCAGCACAAAACAAGAGCCACGTGTGTCTGTGCTGCTCTGTGAAGCACTGTTACCCTCACACCCTGTACAGAGCAGATCAACCTGGGGTGAGCCAAAGTCATGGAATAGAGAACAGACAAGAAGGGAGAAGGCAATGGTGTTACAAGCAGACTTACTCTAGTTTCTTCAGGTTCCCCATTCCTTGTAAGCCCTTTGAAAGAGCAGCAGCAAAGTCATCACCACATCTCCTGCTGCGAAAGCTGAAATGTGAAGAAAAGGGGAAAAAAATAAACACACCAAAAGTAGATATTCTCATTTGCTTGCAGGATTCACCCTTCCTTCGTATTGAAAAGAAATGCCTATCATCTTTCCTCTTATCTAATGCATTAACTACCCTGTTGTTCCCCTTAATCAAAATGGAAAAACAAACAAAAATAAAGCCAGAATGGATTTATCACCTTTTTTTCCTCCAATCACTCATAAATGCATTATTTCATATATTTTTGCAATACTGAAGTTATGCTGTTCCGATCAAATTTTCTCACATCATCTCTCTCTGTTCTAGAACAAACTTGAGGTTTGACCTTCCAATCCCTTAACCCTTCTCCCCACCCAGCAGCTCACAGCACTCATTGTGTTTACCTCAAGTGTTCCACATTTTTACAGCCAGCCAGAACCTCCAAACAGTCGGTGTCCACAAGACATCCTGCAAAATCCAAACAAATCAAATCCTGGCCCGAGTTTATGACAAAAACCAAAGCCGACATGTCCAGTGTTGTCAGTCTGAAGTTTTTAAACTCATACTTGAAATTCAGCAGGCTCCCAATGTGCTGGGCTACTTCAAGGTTTTGTGTTTCAAAGGTGCAGTGGCAGAGCTCAAGGACCTTAGGTCCTGACAGATGAGTGGCTGCCAGTTTCCTGAGAGACTGCAGGATCACATCCTGCTTTTCCTGCACCCAAGCTTCATCTTGCTCTGCCAGCAGCATGAGGAATGTTCTACACTCTCTTGACGACAAGCCTGAGAGAAATATGTGAAAACTCTCCATAAACTCGGTCTTTGTCTCATTCTTTAAAGTCCACTTTGATTTCAAGAAGAACTTCTTCTTCAGGTAGTTCTTGTCCACCCTCCTACTCACCATGAGACACAGTGCTGCAAAAAACTCCTGCAAGCTCAAGTGCACAAAGGCATAGCCAACCTCTGGGCAAGTGCCACTCGTCTTCACCTCAAAGGCAGTCAGCAATCCATGCAAGGAAGCAAATTCCTTCACATCCTCAGGAATATCGCTGACATAAAACACAAGTTTCTTCTCTTCCAGGCCTCTCAGTGCAAGATCAAACAGACCCAAAATGGCCTTTCTGTTACAATTCAGCTGAGTCTCCTCATCACAGTCTCCTCGCTGCTTGTTCAGGAAGATGAGAAACATTTTGATATAAAACTGTGTCATAGTCTGAGGAAGCTCCACACTCATCTTTTGTTTGAGGAACAAATACTCCAAGCAGATGCATACAATGTTACACAGAGCAGGGATGAAGCACATGCTGAGGAGTTTGGTGTTGTTCTTCACATGAGCAATAGCTCGTTCTCTGAATGAATGCTGACAAAAATAGTGGCTAACATATTCCTCCACCTTCTCATGGTCAAATCCCCCAATTTCTGCCAACACACCTACTGTATATAATAAGAAGTCAGGTAACCTCTTGGGTCGGCTGGTGACCAGCACTGTGCAACCAGGCAGGAGGTTCCCATGACAGAGGTCTGCAAAGAGCTGGGATATGGACATAGGGGAGGTAAGAGCTGGGCCTCTCTTAGAGGAGGATGACACATCCATGTTAGCTGCAAACTCATCCAGGCCATCAAAGATGATCAGTGTCTGCTGGGCATTCTCCAGGAGGGCCTGGAACACCGCATCGGGGCTGTCCTCTGGCTGAAGGAACATGTCAAACAAAAGCTCCTGCAGGGTCAATTTTCCTTTTAACAAATTCAGCTGCCGAAACTCGAACAAGAAAGTGAAGAGAAACTGAGGTAGGACACCTTCTGCCCATTTCTGACAAATCCTGTGCATTAGCCTGGTCTTGCCTATCCCTGGTTTACCAAACAAAAAGATCACCTTGGTGGTGTGCGACGGGGCCTCACTACAGAGCAGATCTGACACTTTCACAGCTGTGTCTGCACATTCCTCTGCCTCAGGAGCACTTGCCATGTCCTCTCGGGGTTTCTCTGTTCTCTCTTTCAAGCGAGGGGCTTTGCTCTGATGAATGACAACGTTGACAAAGGTTTGGTTGAAAGGCAGTGGCTGTGTTTGTTCCTGTGCTTCTGCTGCCCTCCTGCTTCCGTATCTCTGGCAGACAGAATTGATGAGGAGATGCCGGTACTTCACAAATGCATCTAAGAGAGAAGACAACAGAGGGGGTATGAGGGTGAAAAAGTTAGTTGTGAGTCACATCATATCCAAAATACTACCACTTACAGGCAGAGAAACAGTGGCCCTGATCAGAGGTTGCTGGGTAGAAATGACAAATTTTGAACTCCTGAAAATAACCTATAACTCTTCTTAATTTTTCACAGGGACCAAAGAAAAACAACATTCAAGAAAAAGATGAGACAGATTTATATGAAAACTAAACCTTATTATCTCTAAGATGAGAATTAGGTATGCGTGTATTATGCATATTATTCCCTGTTCACTAGCTCGCTCTTCACTATGCTGGCCTCTTAACGCTGGAAGTTGATTTCCTGGGTGTTTCTGCAATGACATTAAATAGGTCCTTTCCTCAGAGGGAAGCCCAGCACAGCTTCTGGAATATCCACATACCCAGTCGTCGCTGTTTGGCATCTTTGTCACTCCCAGAGCTGCTGCAGCGGCGGCGGCGAGCAGACCCTGAAAATGGAAAGGTCAGAACCACATCAAAAGTGCATTTTGAATGGCAGCGTGTTAAAGCTGGGCAAGACTCTCCATGCAGCAAAGCATTTGGGGAGTTGAAGAGGAAAAACTGGACAGACAAAGCTATTTGTAAGCTCAGGCTGTGATTACAGAATTGCTTCTTCTGAGATGGGCCACAAGCACCTCACTGGTGAGTCTGTTTGCAGGCTGGATGATGCACCTGCCTCACTTTGAACAGAGGAACTGCTCTGATATCCTGGGGAACCTGGCAGGGAATATCTGTTTCTGGGGAATGCAGGGCCCACAGATTCTCAGGGCTGTTTATGGTGGTTAATTTCCTGGACTGTCAAATGGAAAGAATGGACAGAGCTGAGAGAGGCACGTGTCTTTCTTAACTAGTCTTAGTAACTTCCAGCACTATTTTCAAATTTCCATTCCACCAGCACCTGGCAAGATGGACTCACTAGGACACAAAGCATTTGGCAGCAGTGTAAATACAGAGCAAAGGTGGATTTTTTCTCCATATTTTCAGCATCTTAAACCTGCACATGACACACATGACAGACATGTGACATTTGCAGTGCTGTGACTCAGAAGTCTCTGAGCATAAAGCAGAGGCAAAAGTCTCTCTTCATGATCTGCACCAGCTAGGAAAGCCTCAATACACCCCTGAAGAAAACCTTACTATCTGTTCTCTTAAGCTCCTATTCTGACAACTCTGGAGTGGTTTCTGCTTGATCAACACCTGAATAATTTTTCTGCTCTTCCTTTAAAAGCCAAACCAACTTCTTCCACCAACCAATGAGCTGACCACAGTATAAGTGCAAAAAGCATGGGTTTAGTAGCATGGGTGGGAGATTCCCACAGAGCAACTAAAATGAGTGAGTTCCTTAGCAGGGGACCAGCAAGGCTTTTCTGAAATTCAGGGACGGAAAATGAAACAGGAGAGGTTCACGTGGCAAAGCATCAAGAACAGAACAATGAAATGTCCATTTGCAGTGGCTTCCCCACACCTTGCCAGTGCTGAGGGTCAATACCTGGGACATTTGGAGCCCTGCCCAGGCCATGAGCAGAGAAGAAAAACTCCAAGAGCCCAGTGCCCAGGGTCTGTTCCAGCCTTACCTGTTGGCACAGGTGGCTGGGCTCTCGTGTCTGTGCCTGATTCTTCTGGCTGGCTGAAGTTACCTAAAGGAGTTGAATGTGAATTAATTTTGGTTAATATGAACATTCTGCTCTTGAAATTTGGAGTGTGGCTGGCCAGAGACAAAGGACAGGTATCTTGCAACAGACAGTGGCACAAAGCAAGGCTCAGTATAAGGGATGCAAACATCCAGGTTCAAGGGTCTTCATCTGATCTTTTCCTTCCAGATTATTCTACAGTACAGTTAGTTTCACTTTCAAGGCAGGAGAAAAACAACTTTACTCTCTGATACAAACAAACTTGGAGTTTGGGCAGCTCTGGCTGATCTAAAACCACACTGTGGCCCAAAAGGGAAGCCCTACTTTCCCTGCAAAGAAAGCTTTTCTGTGAATAAACCACTGGCTGAGTTGGCAGCCCAGTCAAGGGCCTTTTCTGACTCACTGTATAGCTCACAGGTGCCACAAAACCCCCTCAGCATAACCAGAAGCAATTCACCTTCAGAAGGATTAGTGATGCTCAGCTGTTACTACAAAAGCTAAACCACTATAAGCCAGCTCCAAAAACCTTAAGAGACATCTTTTTTTATGGTATGTCACAGTATCAAAAGGCTGAAAACTGTTTCAGCTTCAGTCCTGAGAGAAATCCCCCACCAACCCACGTTCCTTGATGGTTGTCTGGTCTTTGCCCTGTTTCATCTCAGCCAAAAGAGCTGCTGCTGCACTTGGTTACAAAGGTTGCATCCACACAAATGATGCAAATAATAAGAGTTACTGCAAGCAGAATGTGAAAGTGCCGTTGAGAAGGACTCAGCCTAAGACTTCCTGCAGAAGAGAAGAATTAATCACCAGACAAAGCAACCCACTAAATGAGAGGCACAGCTTATCTGATTCCACAGGCCCTCACAAAGCAGAGGCTGTGCACACTCTGTAGGTTGCAAGACAACACACACTAACAGATCAGGGTCCTTATGGATCACCTCGTGTGCTCTAAATCCCTGCCTCTGCTAACAAGAAATACACTGAAGTGGTTTTGTGTGATTACTCTAAGACTTCTGTGTTCCTTGCCTTTCTGGATCAGGAAAATTTTAAAAATAACAATTAAAAGTCCACAGAACAAAGAGATTGGAGTATTTCTTCCTTCAAATAAATCTATCCAAAAATTGCATCTCAGCTTTATTGGAGATGGGGGCATACAATTTTTATTGTTTTAATCTGTTAATGTCATCTGTTAATTAATCTGTTAATTTTACATCAAATTGCATTTCTAAGCCAGAAGTTGTGCTTCCAAGAAAAACAAGGCCATGCAACTGAGGGCACTGGTGGTCCCACTGCCTAGACTGGGTGATGGTAATGGGGGGCCAAGCTTTGGCTGTGTTTGGTCAGGGGAATCTGGCCTGACCTCTCTTACCTTCTCCCGCAGAGCTCATGAGCAGGACCTCCAGATCCAGGGGCAGGTCATACTCCATGCAGACAGACTGTGCAAAGTGCTTCCAGGCAGCAGGGCCAGCCTCCTCCAGCAGGTCCAGGAGCACAGAGATTTTTTCCCTGGGGCTGGTGACATCCCCCAGGCCGCTCAGGGCTGCCTCGGGGACGGAGCGCCGGGCAGTCGAGAGCAGCCAGTCGGGACAGTGAGTGAGGAACTCCACGAGCTGGGGACGGGCTCTTGCCACAGCTGCAGGCAGGTCTAGGTCATCGTTCTGAAATGGGGGCTAGAGGGATGCAGACAAAGGGCAGCAGCGGGCACAGAAGCAAGAGATGCTCACCCACACAGCCCTGCAGGCTTGATCTGTTTTTGTACCCCTTGGCCTAACCTAGAATTTCTTACTTTTATTCCTGAGTTTAGAGTAGAGATCTGAGCCCAGTCATGAGGGTGCAAGGATGGCAGTCCTTGTCTGCTCAGTGCCTGACAGCAGGACTGTGAAGGACAGGGGCAATCTCTCTGGCACCAGCCAAGGAGAAGCTGTTGACATCTGTATTGCTGCAGTGGCCATCTGCCAAATAACCCAGGCATCTTTCACAAGTACCAGGACCTCTGGGGAGGTCAGAGATGTTCTTTTAAATGTTCAAGAGTGCTTACACAGAGGCAAGGTTTTCTGCTTCTCATAATACCCTACCAACAAACAGGCTGGGGATGCACAGGGAGTTGGGAGGGAACACAGCCAGCACAGCTGACTTCAACTGGTCACACAGCATCATGCTCAGAACATAAAGATGGGGTAAGAAAGAGAAAGGCAGAGAGTTAGAGTGACGGTGTTTGTGTCCTAGATCACCACTACATGTGATAGAGCCCTGTTTTCCTGGAGATGGCAGAACACCTGCTTGCCCATGAGAAGCTGTCAATGAATTCCTTGTTTTGCTTTCCTTTGTGTGTGCAGCTTTTGCTTTACTTATTCAGCTGCATCTCAGTTCACAAGTTTGTGCAGGACCCCCTGCACAAAGGGCTCAGGTGACTGTTCTTGATGCTCATTTTGTGGGGATGAACAACCCATTTCTGCTTTGGTGACAATGCCACCTCCATCCCTCTTCTTTCCCACAAAGCCACACACATGATCTCCTACCTGCATTGTTGTGTAATCAGTCTCCTTCCACTTGTCAAGTGCAAAGGTGGCTTCTGCTCCATATTCTGACAGAGAATCGATCTGCTTGAGGCAGTCTCAGAACACGGACACACCCCAACATGTGGGACATGCCTCACTTTGTACAGATGCCTGGGGATAACAAGAACAGAGCTTGATATAGACATGCCAGGCCATGGCAATACATGAGTCACAAATCTGGGAGCTCTGCCTTTGATCCAAGGGTCAGCTGTGATGCTTTTTGTCTCTTCTCACTCAAACCAGCAGCGACCACAAAGTTTCGACATTTGAGGATTCATTCCTGATCTCATGAAAATGCAGGACTGAGCCTTGTGCCCTAGAATGCAAGTGAAGATGGCTTTAGAGGAACATTTTGTGGGAATCACAGCTTTCCTGGTGTTACTGCCTGATTTGAGCTGGGCTATGCCACTCTGCTGCTGTCAGAGGAAGCTGATGCAGAAGCAGCAGCACCTTGCTCAAGTCAGGCAGTCAGTCACACCAAAAACACTGGGAAAAGCTGATCCTCAGAGACTGCACAGCTCTCACAAAGGAGTTTCAAGTGTAGGGGGCTTGAAAAAGCCCCCACTGCCAGCTCCCCACCTCTCAGCAGAAAGGGTGAAGGGAAATTTCAGTCTGCTCTGCACCTGGCAGTAGCTGGTGTCCAGCCACCCCTACCACAGGGAAAGGGAAGAGGGAAGCAATCACCGTCCGATCAACAGCAAACAACAGACTCAATAAAGCCATACTAAATGCATACATAAATGAATAAAATCAGCCCTTAGTGCCAATGAAGACTGAAAGCCATTCAGGCAAAGAGTAGACTCATACAATCAATTAATATTCAAGATGAAAACAACATGGAAAAGTTGGATGAAAGCTCAGCCACACTGCAGAGTTCCTGTACTACTGCTCTTCCCAAGAATAATTGGCAGTTACGTTCAGTACAATACCTCTGATCCCAAAATGAAGAACAAAAACCTCCCAAGAAAAGCCGGAAAACTTTTGAGTCTTGATGCTTACCCTTCAAATGCAAAACCATCTTTAACAAAATCTGCACAACTTAATCTCCTCAACTAGGCACTTTCACTGCTCCCAGGCACAAAAAAATTAAACTGAAATGTGAAACTCCTTGTTGCAAATCTACAACTTCTTGCCTGCCCTGAGGGCACAGAGTACTTACCAGAAGCCCAGAAACAGAGTACCAGCACCAAAACCAGTGTGGGGGTCACCAAACACCAAAGCTGGAGAACAATATCCACTGCCTTGATTTCCCCATGTGCTAACTCACCACTGTCCCCAGGCACAAAGTCCTTCCGTGCCTTTTGGGACCTAATGAACAAAAGACTGAGCAAAATGAAAGTAAAACCAGTGGAAACTCCCCAACTGAAATGTATCTGCAGTAAAAATAGAGAAATTAGCAAAAATATCCAATCGGAACAGAGGAAGCGTAACATCCAAGCCTAAATTCTATAGCTAGGTGATAATTTAGGTAAAGTATTGGAGAAGTAGTCCAAAGAAATGGTACCTAGGGCAAGAAACAATAGTTGCTGGATTTAATAGTTAGTGGCATAAACTCATTTGGTTTTGGTTAAGACACTTGCAATGGGAATATTTCTACTCCCGTGTATAAATCTGATTATTCTGGTACACAGGAAAATATTTAATTACATCTTCCATTATATGTAAGAGGAAAAAACAAGTTGCTTTTCCTTTGGAATAAGGACAAGGTTTAAGTGATAATGTAGCAGATGTGAATGATTAGATAAAAGATCCCACGTCTAGCTAGAGCTGTGTTTGCAGAGATCTCCAGATCTAATCGGACGGGCTGCAACAAACAATGGATTGGTATTAATATCTCTGTGAAGGCCAGGGAAGCTGCATTGGAAAACCGGATGGGGGCCTGTAGCCAAGCCCCAGAGAAGTCACTGTGCTGTAATTCACTTATCAGAGGAACAAATTACCCAGATCCAGCAACACCCTGTATCTGGACAGAAACACTGACTCTGGCTGTCCCGCCTCGAGCGTGGTGCAATGAGTGAGGGGAGATCTGGAGAGCCACGGGTGGATGGAGAGGGTGAAGGTGACATCTGCCAGGCTCTGCCCCACTTTGCCACCACCTGGCCCACCTTGTGCCTGAGAGCACAAGTCACCAGCTCGGCTAAAGTCTGGACTGGAAGAACCTAGGAGCTCACGATTCCCTTCTCTCCCCCGGCTTTTCGCACGAACATCTGAGGGCTGGGGGGCAAAGAGCCAGGCCCCAGCCGCAGGCCCGGGTGGGCTCCCAGCGCGACCCTCCCCGGGCGCGGCGATGTCCCCGCGCCCCGCGCTCACCTGGCCCCGCCGCGCTCCGCCGGGACGGCGCCGAAAGCGAAAGCGGCGGAGCGGCTCTGCCGGGAAAGCACGTGGGGCTGCGGGCCGGGCCGCCGGAGAGTCAGCTCGGCATCCCCGGCAGGCAGCGAGGTTCCGCTGCTCCCTCCTGGAATCGTTCAGTCTGGTAGAAACACCTCTAACATCATCGAGCTCAGCGACGGAGCGCTGCTGGGCTCTGCCCAGGTGCCACACCCACGCACCTGCAGAACAGCGCCAGGGACGGCGAGTTCACCTCTGCCCACTTCTGGGGAAGGCATTTTGCCTAATATCCAACCTGAATCTCGCCTGTTGTAACTTGAGGGAGTTTGCTCTTGTTCTGTCACTTGCTACCTGGGAGAACAGACAGACAGAGACCCAGCTGGCTCCACCCTCCTTTCAGGGATTTGCAGAATGGCAAGGTCCTCCCTGAGCCTCTTTTTCTCCAGGCTGAGCCCTCCCAATTCCATCAGCTGCTCCTCATCAAACTTCTGCTCCAGATCCTTCCCCAGCTCCACTGCCCTCCCTTGTCCCCATGGAAGGGGGGACAGTCCTTCCCCAGTCCAGGCCCCACTGAGCAGCCCCCAGTGAGGCAGACACCTCCATGGCAGAAAAAAGGTGCTTTTCTCCTGCCATTTCCTTTTTATTAAGGCTCCCTCACCACTACTGTGGGATGTCATTTAAAATAACCAGAGGGCTGTGGCTTGGTGGAAGCCAAGTCCCCATGGTGCTCAGCAGACATTGCTGTGCAGGGAGTGAAAATGTCACCTGAGCACTTGTGGCTTTAGAGCAGGAGGGAACATGGACAAGCCCTTCACTGGTACTGAAATAGCTGGCAGAGGCAGTGATGGGAACAGGGTGAGAAGGGAGCTAGAAAACTGCCAATGCACCAGGGCTTCTGCCAGGGCACAGCGGGTCCCACCACGGCATCACACCTCTCATGCCCCTCGGCTGCTGCTGTCCCGTGGCCACAGCTGGGTCAGACCTTCCTTGGCTGCCACGGAGCCACTGAGGCCCCTCCAGCGTCCTCCCCCACCAGCCTGGGCACCGGGACCTCTGAAAGGAGGGTCAGCAGTCACACAGAACAAGGAAGGGCCTCTGGTGTTGTGGGTGAGAGAGAAGCAGGGCAGAGGGACCTGGCTTATATCCATGGCAATGCAGAGGGAGCAACCACCATGCCCAAGGAGCTCAGGAAATGGAGCCCATCCTGCTACCAGCCTCCTTCTGGGACAAAGTTTAATGCTTTTATACTGCTCTGTGGTGGAAGAGAACATCATCTCTATTTTTGTTAATGTGATCACCATTATAGGTGTTGGATTTATCACCCAAGATCTCCTCCAAGTGAAAAGACTTTTAAAAAAAAGCATGAACTGGTACAGGAAAATAACTGAGCCACTTGAGATAAACTATTGCACTGTAATAAGAAGGAAAAGGAACTTGATGCTTGACTAGACACTTAAACTTTCTCTTATAATCTTTCATTTCCTTATAATTTTCAATGTTTTTCTCATTTTCTTTGCTGTCACTGTCTCAACAACATGACCATTATCAGTTTGGAGCTCTTCACTGAACCATCAGGGTCTGTAAAGAAATAACCTGGACACAAGATCTCTGTTATTGTACTGCACTGCAAATTCACATCCCATTCACTTTTTGCAGCCATATCCAGGTCTTTTAGCATGGCTGGTTCTAGGCTTACTTGGGGTTTGGTAATATTATTTGACTTGCTGGATTCTGTCAAAATCAGGAGGACTCTGGTGGAAGAAAAACCCAGAGATGGGTGAGAACAAAAGGTGCTATATTTCCAAAATGTAACAACAGAGATGCCAAAAGGTGGCAAAGCCCATTTCTGCTGCCTCCTGAGACTGCTAACCCAAAGCCTGTGCACTTCAAGAGCCCAGCCCTGACTCCCAAGAACACAAACCCTTTAAAGATCCTGAAAAAATAGTGTGGATTGAGGAGCAGACTTCAAAATCTTTTCAGAAGAAAGGCTCCATGGAAGCACAGTTGCACAGAGCCTAGAGTATTTCTCAGGAAAAGGAAATAAAATTCAACCAAAACCGATTTAAAGCAGCTCATCTTTTAATTGGTTCAGACACAATTTCTCTGGTTGTACACAAGCTCCTGTGCTCCTCTGTGAAGGGATGAGCTCTACAAACTTTTCTCAAGAAAATTAAGAAGCAGATGATTTGGGAATCCAAAGTCAAGCTGTACAATTACATATCCCTAAAAAGTGGGGAGAGAACAGAAAATATTTAGTTCTTGCCACAATCCCAGAAGGGCCTTGAGAGCTGGGTAGCCGTGAGCTCTGCTTACCTGTCTGGTAATGATCTCAGGATTTATGATATCAAAGAGATCAAGCCTTTTGCTGTTCATCAGTGAAGTCAGAGCTGATCCAATACCTGTGGAATCAGCAAACCCATCCAGTTACAGGGATGTCCATCCTGGCTTGCTGCCTGCTGCCAAAAGCTAATTGTGCCTCAATGTCCCACAACCTTCAGCCTGACAGAAAACTAATTTTTCCTTTCTCCCAGCCATTTACACGGGGTTCCTCATTCCCCAAGTGTATCCAGCAGAAATTTCAAACATATATCAACAGAATTTCAAACCATAAATGTGGTACATCCCCTTTCCAGTTGTCA